CGGGCTTTTTGGGGATCCGCGGGTAACGGGGCCGTCCCGCCGCAGAGGAGCCGGTGCTGCTGGCGGAGCTGAAGCCGGGCCGGCCCCAGCGCTACGATTGGAAATCCAGCTGCGAGACCTGGAGCGTCGCCTTCTCCCCTGACGGGGCCTGGTTCGCCTGGTCCCAGGGACACTGCGTGGTCAAGCTGATCCCATGGCCCCTGGGGGAGGCCGAGCTGTGAGTGCGGAGTCATGGAATGGTTTGGGGTGGGAAGGGACCCTAAAGCCCATCTCATCACACCCCTGCCATGGCAGGGACACCTTCTGCTGTCCCAGGCTGCTCCAAGCCCCAATGTCCAGCCTGGCCTTGGGCACTGCCAGGGATTCAGGGGCAGCCCCAGCTGCTCTGGGCACCCTGTGCCAGGGCCTGCCCACCCTGCCAGGGAACAATTCCTGCCCAATATCCCATCCATCCCTGCCCTCTGGCAGTGGGAAGCCATTCCCTGTGTCCTGTCCCTCCATCCCTTGTCCCCAGTCCCTCTCCAGCTCTCCTGGAGCCCCTTTAGGCCCTGGAAGGGGCTCTGAGGTGTCCCTGGAGCCTTCTCCTCTCCAGGTGAGCACCCCCAGCTCTCCCAGCCTGCCTCCAGAGCAGAGGGGCTCCAGCCCTTTGAGCATCTCCTCTGCTCTCACTCCAGCAGTTCCAAGTCCTTTTGATGTTGGGAACCCCAGGGCTGGGGCAGCTCTGCAGGTGGAGTCTCACCTGAGTGGGGCAGAGGGGCAGAATTCCCTCTCCTTTCCTGCTGCCCCTGCTGGGGCTCAGCCCAGGGTGTTTCTGGGCTAGGGCATGGCCAGCCCTCACCCACCAGCCAGCTCCCAGTGCTGCTCTCCATCCATTCATGCTCCAGCTTGGATTGATCCCAGGAGTTGCCCAGTGTGGGATGAGGATGGGTTCATGGAGCTGGGGGTCTCGGGGTGAACACTCCACCCATCCCTGCCTCCCTCCAGCAGCTGCAAAACCTCAGAGCGCAAGAGCCGGGGCGGCAAAGCGGAGACCTGGAGCCGTGGGGCGGCCAAGGAGAAGACTCTGGAGTGTGGGCAGATCGTGTGGGGCCTGGCTTTCAGTGCCTGGCCAGCAGCTGAGGATGGGGACTCAGATCCTGCCTGTGCCGTGGGGCTTCCCTGCCTGGTCCTGGCCACTGGGCTCAACGACGGGCAGATCAAGGTGTGGGAGGTGCAGACAGGTGAGCAGCCCTCGCTGTGGTGGCTTCAGGTTGGCTGTCCCCTTGTTCCCCTGTGCAAGGAGATCCCATCTCCCTCCTTGCCCAATACCTGCCCTGTCGGCTGCACGAGGGGCTCTGCCTCATTCCCCATGGATGGATGGCACTGAGCAGGGCTCCTCTCTGCAGGGCACCTCCTCTTCAGCCTCTTGGGACATCAGGATGTCGTCAGGGACCTGAGCTTCGCTCCCAATGGAAGCCCCATCCTCGTGTCAGCCTCGAGGGACAAGACCTTGCGCGTGTGGGACCTGAGCAGGGACGGTAGGAGCATGCAGGGATATCCCTGTGCTGGGTCAGGGAATGGGGAGAAACTCATCTCGGGAGGAAAGATGGTGGGAGAGGATCTTGGGGACAGCATTTGAGGCAGAAGGGGACAGCCCTGTGACAGGGAGCAGAGAGTAACCTGGGAGATGCAGGAGGGCATTGCCTTGGGATTTACCCAGGGAATCCCCAGCTCAGTTTCCCACTGGGGAAAGGGAGGGAGAGCAGAGGCAAGGAGTCCTGTTCCCCTCTGGTGACACATTTCTGCTGTCCCCAGGGCGGCAGGTCCAGGTGCTGTCGGGCCATGTGCAGTGGGTCTATTGCTGCTCCATCTCCCCAGACTGCAGCATGCTCTGCTCTGCGGCTGGAGAGAAGTCGGTGAGTCCTGCAGGATGGGAGCCACCCCTGGCCCTGCTGAATCCAGCCCTTTATGTCCCCAGAAACCCCCTGGGAGAAGGGCCAGGCCAGCCCTGGCTCCTCAGGAGCTAGAAGTTGGGAGCAGAACCCATGTGGTTCAAACCTTGGGATGCTCCCAGCCTGATCCCCTGCCCAAACCCCGCAGGCGCTGCTGTGGAGCATGAGATCCTACACCCTCATCCGGAGGCTGGAGGGCCACCAGAGCAGTGTGGTGTCCTGTGACTTCTCCCCGGACTCTGCGCTCCTTGTCACCGCTTCCTACGACGCCTGTGTCATCATGTGGGACCCCTACACCGGGGAGCAGCTCAGGACGCTGCGGTACAGACCTGGGAGGGGACACAGCAGTGCCAGAGAGGTTTTTAGAGCTGGATGGGCACAGCCACCATCTCTACACTGTGGTAATGGACCATGGGGACACTGTGGGACAGGACAGAGCAAAGCCAGGGAGGTTTTTAGGGCTGGATGTGACTTTTCCCTTCTCTCTGGGCACAGCCATCACCACTCTTCTGCTTCCAGAGGCAGGATGGGGGTCTGGCTTGCCAAGTTTGGCAGCTCTGCCAGCCTCAGCTGGGGAGGGGGCTGGTGGCAGCTCAGAGCTGATGCTGGGATGTTGTCCTGACCTACAGCCACGTCCCGTTGCACTCTGCGCTGGATTCCAGCAGTGAAATCCACACCAGCTCCCTGCGCTCTGTCTGCTTCTCCCCTGAGGGGCTCTACCTGGCCACGGTGGCAGATGACAGGTGAGTGAACCCCTGTGGGGACCCAGAGAGGGGCCCAGGGGGAGACCAGAAAGAACCAGGAGCTCAGGAGGTGGGGAATAATTGCACCAGGTCCCCACCAGTTCCTGGAATAACTGGAAAGATCAGGCAGTGGGAACACCATGGCTTGGCTGTGACAAGGGCTAGCAAGGTCAGGGCCCTGTCACCCTGAGCTGAGGTCTGTGTCCCCCTGGGTGCTCTGCCACCCTCAGCATGTCACTCGCTCAGCAGGGGACAGTCCTCCCTAGGACACTCCCATGGGAAGCAAATCCTTATTTTTGTGTCTTCAGGTGCTCCCAGAGGCTTTATTTTGGCAGCAGACACTGCATTGTGTCCTCTCCCTTTCTCCACAGGCTCCTGAGGATCTGGGCCTTGGAGTTTCGGTCTCCAGTGGCCTTTGCCCCCATGACCAACGGTCTGTGCTGCATGTACTTCCCACATGGAGGATTCATTGCCACGGGGTGAGTAAACAGGAGAGGGTGGAGAAACAGGGCTGCTCCCTCCTCCTGCAGCTCAGCAAATTCTGGGTTTCCCTGGGGATAGTTTTCCTTTGGGCTTGGGAACACGTGCTCCTAGCAAACTTGGGAATATTTGGGGCCAGCTGGGATTCCTCGTGTCCCCCTGCCATGGGCTCAGGGGTGTTTGGATCCCGTTGCAGGACCAGGGATGGCCACGTCCAGTTCTGGACAGCCCCAAGAGTCCTCTCGTCGCTCAAGCACTTGTGCCGCAAAGCCCTGCGCACCTTCCTCACAACCTACCAGGTGCTGGCGCTGCCCATTCCCAGGAAGCTGAAGGAATTCCTCACTTACCGGACTTTTTAAGGCAGGAGGGAGAGCAGAGGCACGGAGGTGAGCCCTGGGGCTCAGCCCAGGCCGGCAGCGCCGCAGGAACGCCGAGCCGTGAGCCAGGAGCGTTGCTGCTGCTGTGGTTTTGGGGCTGTGGAGGGCTTTTTTCGGTGTCGTAATACAAAAACCCAGCAAAATCCCATGCAGAGGGTGAGGGGCAGAGCTGCGGTGGCCCTGCAGGGGACACAGGTGGGACACAGGTCCCCCTGTCCCCTGCTGCCTGCTGGGGTTGGGTCAGGTGCTTCTGCTTCCGAGTGCAGTGGTGTGGGATGATGGTGGAGCAGCTGCTGTGGGAGCAGAGCTGTTGTCACCTGCACAAAAATGGGGCTAAACCCCCCCAAAACACCCACCTGGGAATGTCCCTCCATCCCGGTGGAGCGCGGGCTCTGCCGCTCTCCTGGCGTGGGTAGGAGCGGGACAAGCCCGAGCAGGTCTCAATAAATAAAAATTGATTCCTCATGATTTCCCTCCTGGCTCGCTCAGGTGACCTGGGAGTGCCTGGCACCACCCTGGCTGCCAGGGAGGGGTGGCAGGAGTGTCCACCTGTGGGAAGAGGTGGCTTCACCCCCTGCTCCCATTCCTCTGTTGTTTTCTCTCTGTGCTGGAGCGTGGCACTCAATCAGCCAGATTCCCAGACGTGCTGAGCATGCAGCAGTGTTGTGTTTGTCCCTGTCCTCCAGCTTAGCTGGTGGCTGGAGCAACAGCACATTCCCTGTGTGCTGGCAGGCTTTGTGGAGGGAATTCTCCTCCAAACATCCCCAGGATGTTGTTTTTCGCTTGGGAACAGCTGAACACAGAAAGCTGGTGCTTCCCTAACCCCCCACCTCCCTTCAGGAGGGAAAAGCAAAGACCAGTGCAACCTGCTGGGCTTTGGAGGCACCTGTATTTTCCCATGGAGCTTGGGAATAATGTTACCTTTTAACAACCTTTTTACCCTGACTGTGCACTCAAGGCTTCCAGAAAGGAACTGGGAAGCTGCAGGGAATAGCTCCAGGCTGATGGTCCTTCCCAAATCCAGCAGCAGATCCACCCGGCAGGACTCAGGCTTCAGCCGCCACCAGGTCCCTGGTGACCTGGAAGGCGGCGATGAGGGAGCTCAGCTGGATCTTCTCGCTGGTGCCAGCAGCCAAGCGGTACCTGGAGAGGGGCCAAGGGCAGCTTTGGGGGTTTCCAGAACTCTGGGTGCCCCCCAAAGCCATGGGCTGTGTGCCAGCAGTGCCCAGCAACCAGCAGGAGCCAGCCCAGGGTCCCCACAGAGGGGCAGTGACACTCACTCGATGTCTGCCAGCTTGATCAGAAGCTGGATGCGGATGGAGGGGGGGAAGTCGACTGTGGAGAGAAGGAAACACTAGGTGAGGGGCAGGGGGAAGTCTGGCTTCTCCAGGATCATCTGGAGCAGGATCCTTTCCCCACCTCTGTGCACGAAGAGATGGATCTCGGTGAGGATGTCCTGCAGGGCCAGGCCCTTCAGCGTCTTCAGCTCCATGATTTCTGGGATGAGAGTGAGTCAAGGCCTTGCTTCCAGGTGTTTCCCTGCCAGATCTGCTCCTCATCTCTGCAGCAACCCCTGGTGAGCAGCATCCGCCCCAGAGATCACAGAGATCCCTGGGAGAGAGCAGGATTTATCCCAGCTGGGAATAACCCCCAGGGCAAAGGATACTGCGGTAGGCACTGGAAAAATCCAGGTTCAGCATCCAGTCGAGGATGTTGGCGATGTCAGACTTGAGGGGATGCCCCGTGCAGGTGTAAACGTTTTCCTCTGTCACCTTCCCAAAGGCCATGGAGGTGCTCTGAGGAAGAGGAGGGAACAGGAGGGATGAAGAGGCCTCTCCAGCTCAGCTGGCCAGGAGCTGATGGCCACAGTCCCACCTGCAAGATATTGAGGGCCCTGCGCATGTCCCCGCTCGAGAGGGTCACCAGAGCCTTCATCCCGTCCTCGGTCACGTCCACCCTGGAAAACAACACCTGGGCAGCTGGAACCGTGGGAATCCAACCTGCTGCTCCCCTCTGGCAGGGAATGGGGACAGAGGGGGTGTGGAGGGATCCCCCACTCACCCCTCCTCCTGGATGACGTGCTGGAGTCGCGGCACCATCAGCTCCGGGGTCAGGGGGCCGAAGCGGAAGCGGGTGCAGCGGGATTGCAGGGCGGGAATGATCTTGGAGAGGTAGTTGCAGATGAGGCAAAACCGGGTGTTTTCTGTGAACTTCTCGATCACTGCAAAAAGGAGGGAGGGGAGGAGGGTCCTTGGCTGCTGCCTTGTCTTGATCCCCACCCTGTGTCAGGCTGGATGAGGCTGATGGCTGCCCACAGCATGGGATTCCCATGGTGTGGAATTCCCAGTGCTCCTCACCTCTCCTCAGGGCGTTCTGAGCATCCTGGGTCATGGCATCGGCTTCATCCAGGATGACGAGCTTGAAGCCTTTCCTAGGAGAAGGGTGGGTTTGGTGCTGGAGAAGGGGGAGCAGGGATGTTCGTTCCCATCCTGGCTCCTGGGAAGCCCTTCTTGCATCCTCATCCTCCATCCCTGCTGGACACGTTCCTGCCCACCCCAGGACCTCCCAAATCCCCTTCCCTATCCAAGTGCCAGGGCAGGAGGATGCCAAAGGGATGAGGAGCTTTGGGAAGCACAGACCCACCACGTACTTAAAGATGGTCCTGGTGCTGGCAAAGCTCAGGATGGGCCCTCGGACGATGTCGATGCCTCGGTCATCAGAGGCGTTGAGCTGGAAGGGAATGGTGTGGATCCATAATCCCTCATCCCATTCCAACCCATCCCAACCTTTCTCTTCCCACCCCATCTCATCCCGTCCCATCCCAGCCTGTTCCTGCTCACCTCCAGCACCATGGAGCCGAACTCCCGCTCCCGGTAGAGCTGCCTGGCACAGGCCAGGATGGTGGATGTCTTCCCGGTGCCGGGCGGCCCATAGAGGAGCAGATGGGGGAGCCGGTCCTCGCTGATGAAGCGCTGCACTATGGGATAACGGCGGGATAACAACGGGATAGCAGGAGGATAGTGGGGCTGGGACCCCTTACCGGTGCTGAGGATGTCCCGGTGGGACACCAGCTCGGACAGCGCCTGCGGACGGTACTTCTCCACCCTGTACCGGGGAAGGAAAGGAGCGGGGAGTCAGCCCCAGGGCAGCTCCCGCAGCGGTATCCCGGTATCCGGCTATCCCTGTATCCCGGTATCTTGCTATCCCGGTATCCCGCTATCCTGGTATCTCGCTATCCCGCTATCCCGGTGTCCCGCTATCCCAGTATCTCGCTATCCCAGTATCTCGCTATCCCAGTATCTCTCTATCCCAGTATCTCTCTATCCTGCTATCCTGGTATCTCGCTATCCCGATATCCCGGTGTCCCGCTATCCCAGTATCTCTCTATCCCAGTATCTCTCTATCCCGCTATCCCGGTATCTCGCTATCCCGATATCCCGCTATCCCGGTATCCCGGTGTCCCAGTATCCCGATATCCCGGTATCCCGCTATCCCAATATCTCGCTATCCCAGTATCTCGCTATCCCGGTATCCCTCTATCCCGATATCCCGCTATCCCTCTATCCCGATATCCCTCTATCCCAATATCCCTCTATCCCAATATCCCGATATCCCAATATCCCGCTATCCCGGTATCCCGATATCTCGCTATCCCGGTATCCCTCTATCCCGATATTCCTCTATCCCAATATCCCTCTATCCCAATATCCCGCTATCCCGGTATCCCGGTATCTCGCTATCCCAGTATCTCGCTATCCCGGTATCCCTCTATCCCAATATCCCGCTATCCCGATATCCCGGTATCTCGCTATCCCAGTATCCCTCTATCCCCCCGCTCCCGGCCGTACCACGGCAGGTTCGCGCTGCCCGCCGGCGCCATGTTGGGAAGTCTCGCGAGAGCTCCGCCAAGCGCGCGAGAGCGGCGGGGCG